ACAATACTTAATTCGAAAAATACAGCAAAGCTTGGCCTGGGCCTAAGGGAATTGCAAGTGAGATCGTGTTCTGGCGAGATGGACCTTCGCCAGTCTCGTCCTCGAAGGCATTCTCGGACACGCAATGCCGTTGTCCTTGACCGGAGGAGAACTTTACTCTCGAGTCGAATTGGCTCCAGCCCTAGACTTTTCATTTGTTTTTCTCTTTCCCTCTCAGGAGGTTTGTACGCTACTCGCCGACACGTGGATACCACAGGCTCTGACGCCGAGTCCCGACGCCGAGTACCAAGAGTGGTCGTGTTGCGGTGAGTCCCGGCCCGTCTGATTGGTCCTTTCTGCCCCATCCGACCCATTGACCCTCGGACACCGGCATTGTCGTCCGGGCGTGTACACTTCAAGCTCAATCAGACCCTCTTGCCGGATTCCTTTTGACGAAGAGAAGTTGGGCTTCAAAGTACCTCTTTTAAGGCGTGATGAAGGAGAAAAGGTAGCAATTGGAAATTAGGGAAACCACGAGCTGGGACGACAAAAGGAAATTTCTTCTCTGGAAAGTCTTGTCACGTGGGAGAGTCGACATTTCAGCAGAATTGAGTCAGGCTAGAGGACTTGTTGGCACAGCTTTTTTAATGGTCTTTCAAGACTATGATTCGATTTTGAGTAAAAAACTGTGTTCTTCCAATTTCGTGTGAACAGATGAAAAATTGCCAGTTGGAATGTACCACAATGACATGAGTAGACTGACGCCTCCATCGACTTTCATGTAGCCATGCATTTGTAAAAGCTTTTCTCATCCAGCCTGAAGTGATCTATAGCCTCGAAGTTACCTCAACCGTTCTCATCAGCACCTCCCGCGGGACTCGAACCTGGCCTGCGTTAGGCAAATTTATGGCATTTAGACTATGCCAGACTGTGTCAAGTGTCCTTGGGTCACAGGTTAAAAGTGAATTCATGTATCACTTTCTCTTGCGTGAACGCGGTTGAAGCAAAGTTATGTTTACTATTTCATTCAACTAGATTGGTTATTTTCATTTGGAAATAGGTTTTCGAGACAACCAGTAGGGCCTTGAATGTAAGTGTTCATTTGGGTGATTTTGGTGTAACCCAACTAAGAAACCTACATGACTTGAAAGGAAAAAAGGTAATATGAGATGTGTTCACCTAATTTCGTTTAAGGTGATGAAGGACTAGAAGGAGAAGAATTTTCCCACAATCATATGAGTTGAGCTCACGTTTCCATTCAAGTTCACATAGCTCAACTCCCATTATTGTGGGAAAATTCTTCTTCTACCAGTCCTGCATCACCTTAAACGAAATTGTGTGAATACATCTCATATTACTGACTTACTGGTAGTCACGAGAACAATAC